TTACCAATGGAATGCAAGCTAAACGTTGAAAAGACACTATCTAGACCCTATCATACAAGCGAATACCAACCGGGGACTACGCTAACGGAAGGAACACAACATAGCAACACCACAGCTACGCAAGCAGGTATTTCTACTGCTTAGGCTAGAAAAGCCAAGGATCAAACCACAACACTTGATCAGAGGAGTACCTACTACCAGTCAAGTATCCCACGAAGTTATCTTTATAGACGTAAAGTCTGCTACGGCTGAACTACGAAAAGCTTAGAGCGGCTGGTGGGTATAGCTGGAGAATATACAAAGAGCACAAAAGCGATCGAAAGTTGGGCGGTAGGGCAGTAACAGTGTCAATCCATTCAAGTGTTATAATTTATCTTTACTGTATGTGCGCGTCGATCATTTCCAACGAGATTATTCGTGGCATGTACAACCAATCTCATCTCACATCACACTCAGGGTACTGTGCCTCCGATTATCAACTAGATCCCACGTACACGAGCCAATAAATGTATCCAGAAGCTTGAGGACTGGTAGCGAGGTGGCATAACGACTCATCTCACGTCTTTCCCCAGATACGGCGTTCTATTCGAGATTACCGAAGAGCAGGTGAGGCAAGGACAGATCAATAGATGTCAAATGTCAAATAGGAGGAATTTTAATGGCTTATATTATGATTTCGCTCGCACATGATTTCGTCATTGTCTCGTCAAACGCAGTGATTTCTGTGATAGTGCGTAGTGGTCTCAAATCGCAAACATCCACATCAGTCAATAACATCTACCCGAAAGTTCCACTACGATGGTAACTATCAGTCGGCAGCATGCGGATGGACCAATCTTTCATATCAGCAGCCAATTCCTCCACGAGCTCAACTAATCTTCACATCTAACCTTGGACAAAAATATTGACAAAAGAAAATGAGTCAAGCAAGCGCAAGCACAATAGCAAGATGATTCCTTTCTGCATGCCACAAATCGACTTACCGAAGCTCTCGGAACTCTTTCCTCGAGCTACTCGCGTAATTGCACTCCAAATCATCCCCTCCATCACCTATCTATACCTCCAATTTCTCTATAGCTATACCCGTTGCACTCGATTAACTCCCATCCAAAACTTTACCCACGGGTCATTAGACATATCCATCATACCCCGAAAAAGCCTATCCATCATCTAAATCAACTGCCACCTGTCAACTCGAAGTACGATCTTGAATATTCGAACATCCATTACCATTTTAAGCAGTAAAAACAGCAATTCGACTCCCTAACTCGTAATACTTTCCCCGCTGGATTAGAAGATTGTAAAGCGATCCGTACCGTTCTCGTTCAAGCCTTCATTCTTGCAAAGAACGAGGAGAAGACAAGCACTAGAAAGGATATAAACCACAAATGAAATGCCTGACAATTTCACATCGTTCAATAAACGCCACCGTCCCTACTTCTCAAGTCATTCATCAATATACGCAACACCACCACTGTAAATTTCCTTTCTCACAAACAGCCGTCCACCCTCCGATTAGCAACCCATTCTTCCCTCATATCTGAACTCCATTCCGTTTCCTAACCCGCGGTAAACCCAGCAAACTTCCCATACCAGCTCCCAGCTGCGAGCTACAAAGAATGGATATTCACCTTCCGAATACCCCCTCAGTCATGCAGAAAGTCTCGCAAACTCAGAATCAACGAAGCGAAAATCCCTCGACCTACAATTCCGAAAGAAAAATCAGAATGATCGACAAGCTAAGCATGTACAAAGAACCTTGCATAGAGCAATAGAACGAGGAGAAGAGCAACGAATTCCACATCCCCACATCTCCACGAATCTCGAGTCTTTCCCTCTACCTTGATAGGATAAGTTCGTTCTCTACTAGGTATATAGTCCATTCTCTTCCATCCCAGTAGCTATTCCCCACCTTCTCCTCCCTCTGATATCACAAGCGAATTTCAAAAAAAAATCTCTCTATCTTTCCACCTTTCCACCTCCCCCGCTATATCATTCTCATTCCCGCCTCCACTCTCAAAAAGAGAGAGAAATATCGTCATCAACGCTCAAACTATCCCCCTCAACCTCTCCACATCCACATGCAAGGCAAGCAGAACATCCAAAAATCAACGAAGCAATGTCATCGAGATTTTGTCGTACATAAGAAAACATGTGGTTCAATTCAATTGAGTTCGAAAGAACACAAACACAACATTCCTCATCAAACACAACCCCCCCTCCTCAAACCCTACCTACCTACCTCAAAATTCCATTTCAAACAACACACCCAAACTTCAACATCACATCTCCCTCACCCAATTTTAACCTAACCCAATTCATCTCCCAACCAACCACCAAAAGACCACCGTCAGATTATCACTTCTTCGCACCCAGCTCACTCAACAATCCTTCATCACCCACCTCCCATCTCCCATCTCCCAAATTCAAGTTCAAATTCAAATCCAAATCCTCAGTCCCCCTCCCCAATCCTCTGCTCCCCCCAAAAATCCACAAATCCCACACCCGACAAAAACCCTCACCCTTCCCCAAAAACATCCATCATCATCATCATCATCATCATCATCCAACCCCAACCCAACCAACCTCAAACTTTCACCAGCCGACTCCAACTACGCCACACCTCGCATCCACCCACCGAGCCACCCAGTAATCCAATCCACGAAACTCTAAATCTCACTCCTAGGCTAAGCTGACGCACGCACACACGTTGTGTGATGTCTGTGCTCTTTTATGCCTCGACTTGTGTGCAACTTTATTTCTCACTAGGTACATACCTAGGTACTTATTAGTTAGGTACGAGCGGTGAGAGACTAAAAGGAAATGAATGGAGTGAAAAATCGCTCATATCAAGCATTATCGTATAGAAAATTGGAATAGAGATGTAAGTAAGTAAGCAACAAGCAAGCAAGCAAGTAAGCAACAAAATGCACGAAATGAAATGAAGAAGTAAAAACATAAGAATCATAAAGATAAAAAACCGGATATAATATTTGGATATTCGCAAAATATAATTCCTCTTGTTCCTCATCCAGCATACCTAGGTAGCAAAATCCGTCCATCCACCCAAATTCATCATCCGCGTAAAGACATTGAAATTCATAGTTTCCCCATCCCATGTCCTCTACTTTCGCATCCATATCTATACCTCCATCGCAATATCCATCCACATCCACATCCACATCCACATCCGCAAACCACCGGGTATCAATCATCTCCTCTCCATCGCATTGTGGGTGTGCGACCTATATCTTAGATACACATATGTATGCATCTCTCTCTGTGCGTATATCCCCACGAAAAAGCGTTTAACAACAGCACTCCTCGCAAATCAAACACGCGCAGACTTCCTCGAGGAGACAGCAGGCGAGACATGCTTCGCTGTTTGGGGAAAATGGTTAGTTTGATGTTCTTTTCGACAGACAGGAAGAATGTGATTGTAAGAGAGAGGAAAGGAAAGTAGAAAACATACCAGCATCCACCACCACCACGCATAGATACATCGGCGCTCATTCCCTCATTTTGACGCTGTCATAATGTTAGTTAGTACTTTGTGATTATATTTCGATTCGTTTTATTTCATCGAGACTTGTATTTGCAAGATAGACATCGGGATTGAAAATGGGAGATCGGGGTATGATTGAGAAGGGAGAGACAAACAGGTTGTTCGGTGATGGGACCATTGGTTGTGGACATCTCCATTTGTTGAGCTTGGGGTTGTTGAGCTTCGAAAGGCATTTTGATTAGATTGTAGATTGGTGGTTGAGATGGATTGAGGTGAATTGGTTCTTTGAAAGTTGTATATGGAGTTATATATCAAAGGTAGAGATTGTTGATAAGAAGAGAGAGATATAAAACAGAAAGAAGGAAGGAAGGGGTTTAAAAGGTAAAACAAGCACATACATTGGGTCATTCACTCGTAAATTGCATTTTATTCACAGATTTATTTTTACACACCACACCATGCATGCACATTGCCCACCTGGAGGAGAATCAATGTACCATTTCCCCATTCAGTAAGTACAGGGCTGGATTGTCATATGGGATGACCCCCTGATATCCCTTGTTGACCCAATCTTGAACCCAATTTCATTATTCATGACTGCAGGTGTAGCCACTCGCTCCATCCATCCGCCACAATCAGACCTCGGTGTTGCTCAGCCTGTGGATGAAGGCTGTGTTTGCTTCTCCCTCTGGAGTCAGTCCCGCACGTACTCTGTATGGATCAAGCAAGGGAAGGGCAATCGTATCAGACTTCTAGAAACGGAATACGCGTAGAGACTCTCAAAGTCACAAAGCCCCAATATAAATTAATGAAATACGTAACTTTCCACAGCTTGGTGTTTCCGGGGTTTCGGCATTGTGAACAGGGGACAGTAACAGGCTTATCCTGATTGTCTTTCTCGTGCAGTGTCATCTCTTCAGCCACTTTGGTTCGAGCGATAGCAATATACTTTGTGGCATTCCGGCAAGTGTAATGTTATACATGAAGTTATTCCCATCGATCGATTGATTAGTCGCCGCGCACGATAGTTATCAAATCCTCCAAAGATATCAAAATATAGAAAGAAAAAAGCGTCATAAAGCGAAACTCCCGGCTTGGAAATCCCTTGGATCAAAGTCTTGACGAAGCTTATTTTTTGTCTCAGTTTGAAGCCAAGAGCCAAGGAGACAAGCCCGTTCTTCCCGTTGTTACGTTGCTTGATTTTGGGGAGGCTTTTCGGGGTGCATGTTCTTTTTTTTTTTGGAGACTGCATGGATAAATGGATGGATGGATGGATAGATTAGAGATGAGTCAGCAGAGAGACAGGGTGCTCATACGAACTGGCACGAAATTATACGAAAGTATGATTTCCGAGAAGGATTTGATTTTCATCATAGAAAAGGAAGGATGAATTCCCCGGATTTGCTAGTTGGATCTTTTTCAGAAGACCTCCTGCATTACAGATATTGGTGGTCATTTGTTAGATAAGGGAAATTATGGTAGATTAACACGTGTATCCTGTTCCTTAGATCCACTTCAGCATGATGGAGAACTGATTTAAAGATCTTGTTCTTGGATATCGAACTGGTAAGGCGTACTGAGTACTAATAACCGATTCGGTGATGATCATAAACCATCTCCTCAGTAGAAAAGTTGGTAGATCACGTGGAAGCCTGATGCAGTAACTACCTACCTACCTAGTCAAACAGCGCTAGCAGATCTTCTTCTTCCCCATCAACTCGATTGCATCTCCATGAATTTTCTACACAATACATCCTCAAGCATAATCCAATCTACCAAGCGCTTTGGTAATCCCAATATTGCCTATCAATCGCCAACTCCTCCTCATACTTATTCTCAAATGTCTCATCTATCATCTTCACCCATCGCTTGTGTATTTTGACCGAAAACCGACACTTGATATATTCCCAATATTCCGGATACCATCCAGAATTCTCCCAATCTACAATTCCTGAGATCTTCCCATCCTTGACCAAGATGTTTCTCATGTTCAAATCCGCGTGCGTAAAGAATATCTTGTGATCAGTACGATGCATCAATCCAGGAAGTATCCCCAACTGCAACGATTCACTAAATTCTTTCTCGGTGGGAAAAGGACCTACCGGCTCACTGTCGATACGGTAATCCAAACAAGGACCCCCGGTTGCGTTGGTGATGGTGTATTTAGAGTCTTTGTTCTGTTCTATGGTATGTAACTCCGCAATGTAGGAACGCAGATCTTGAGCCATTTGATGCACCTCCTCGTCACTACATTCGTCTATAGCGTGTCCGGCGGGTACGCCTTCGATGCGGGACATCACAAGAAAGGACTCAGTGGGTGAGACTAAGAGATCTATGGGATTTGGAACAGGGATGGAAGTCCGACTTCGCACAATTTTAAGAGCGCTGAATTCTCTGGCGTGGTTATCAGCGTCGTATTCTGGACCATATTTGAAGTACATTCCGAATGGTAGCCTCTGAACTCCTCTCGTGGTAGATCCATAGAGATATGATCCAACAGTTCTCAAAACTCGGTAGGTCTTGAATCGGACAAATTCAGGGAACTTAGACCACATGACGAGAAAGGTAGTAGTGATCGATTCTCTGAAAGCACTGCTGCTTGTGTTTTGACTTCGGCGTAAGGATGTGCGGCCGTTTATCTTCGTATCAATTTCAGCCCACTTTAGAGCTTTGGAGAGCCGAGACTGTATATCGAGAAGATACGGGTCAGGGCTCTCAATTCCCGAGTTTGAGTGATCAACTAGATCACATTTCCACTTGACTTGTTGGCTGTACGTATACATCGCTGGAACATTGCCGCCAATATTGTTATACAAGATGCTGTACTGTGTAAAGTTAGCATGGATAGGTCCAAGTAAGGGAAGGCATGAGGACATTTGCTCCTTCCAGCTTTTTGAGTCTTATCACCCCTCTCGAAAGGGGCATTGCCGCATCCTCGCTCAAAATCCAATGATTACGAATCTGATTCTCTAGAGTTTTGTCTTTGAGCAGGTCTTGGTGGAAAGATGTAGTAAATGCACCGAGTACATCAAATAATCTTTGCTACAACCAAAATCAGAAAAAATTGCCAGAAATATGCAATTGGGTTTGTTTGCCCTACTTCCTTCATACAAAGTGCGGTCGGAGGAACAATGGGAAACACATTCCAATTGCTCCAGAATCTGCATCGCACGCCGGTCAGACAGCATCGATAATTATCTCTTTTCGCAACTCTTCTCTTCAGAGCCCAGCTCAGATTTCTCGAGTGGGAAGATTCCACATAGACTTGATTTGAATCAGCAGTGGGCCCATTCATGTTTAGGGATAAAACTTACAAAGTCTTAGCAGATCTTTCCAATCTTTTAAGAATTTTACAAAGTTAACATTACTTCTATCATCGACGTAGGTTTGCAACAAATATCTTGCAGCCTGCTCGCCATCTATAGCATCACTGAGGAATGCTTCAATTAAAGGGAGACCGGGATGTACAAGTTCCGCATTTCGAACAATACTAAGAGCACGAGCCTTATCGCTTTCCATAACCCCTAAAGCTACAAAACAAACAAATTAAAGCGACACAGGCTCAAGAGAGAATGAATACTAAACTTAAAAAGAAAAATGATGAGTGTGAGATGAAATTATTAGAATTTGAGTTAAGTCAAGTTGAGTTGAGTTGAGTTGTGAGTGGGATGCTTTGGTCCTTGCTTTACAAGTCACATGAGCGGCGCATTTAATCCACACATAAGGGCGGTTAGCCTTTTAGTTTTGCTAATCACAGAAGAAAGGTTTCAAAAGCACACTTTACATGCATTATGCTTGATTTTTATTCACCAACTAGTAACCAACAGTTAAACCCAACAAAGAGAGCAGACAACTTCTTCTTCTTGTGGTCTATCTAGATGCTTATTTAGAACGCGGCGGCGGTTACAAACATCAGCGCCAGATCGTCGGCTTCACCTATGTTTGAACCAGATGGCATATTCTGGGATATACAATGTTGGATGGGTTCAATAAGTGACTCAAGTGAGTCTCTAACCACCTTAAAAGAAAATTGATTTGCTTCAATATAGGAGGACTCCATGATGAGACTCTTACAACCATCAAAACTTTTGTGCCGGCAGCAAATTATCTTGACCATAAAAACTAAATTCGACCTTGACGAATCCATTTAGATGGAGAAAAGCGAGAATCTAATCTAGTTCTTGTCATCTTGGCTTATGGATGATTCTATAGATTTTCCGCCCCAAATCGACCCCACGAATGTTGATGTTCATTCGTTTGGACAGGCGCTTTCTTCATATATACCTCCTCTCCAACTGACAACGTTGACCTGTCGATTCCTAGAGTTGCACTGTCAGGTCCCTGTTTTGAAACCATCTTCAATTGGATCTTGTTGATCATTTTAAGCTAACTATGAAGTCTATTGTTACTGCCGATTTTTTGTTATGTTTTGCCATGTATATAATCTCTCATCCTCCTCTAGAAATTGATTGTTTTTTGTAGCATCTCATAAAAAACCTCTCATTTCAATACAGTATATAATCTATCCACATTTCCTACTTCCTCAATCCATAAGATATTCAAATGTCATCATCATTCGAAAACGGCGCCCTTTACATGACCCTCAATACACGAGGTCAACCTGGAACATTCGTAAGACCTTCCCACTTCGACTCTCTCCCGGAATATTCTACTAACAATGTTTAGCACTGGGGAATATTTATTCCATGTTCAGGAGCAAAGGGATGGTACTATCATGCAACGAACAAATCCGGCGGCTGGAAACTTGAAGTGAAATTAACCACAACATTCGAAACTCCAGGACCATCGTCCTTGCCTACAAGCTTGGCTTTGTATCCTCTGAGGCGGCTTTAGACCAAACCTTACGAGCCATCACAGACTTTGGTCCAATATCTAAGCGGACAGGTGAAACTTTCAGTTGCAGAACTTGGATGAAGGATAGCCTTGCCACGCTACATGACAAGGGTATTGTAGCTCTGCCTGCTGATATTGGTAAATTTTACCCTCCTGCTTTTTCGGAAGGATATTTCACTAATGAAATGGTTGAAGATACGCTTGCGAAAAGGGCTTTCGATGAAGCGACCCCCCTGGAGCCCGCTATCGAATCGGGAACAGGTGATTTGACTATCATGGATGGCACTACTTAGTCTGAGAGGAGTTCTCACAAGTGCGCTTACATCTGAAACCTTCATCGGGGCTCTGTGAATCCCTGGCTTAGTCTTTGCAGTTTTCGTTGTTCTCATTTTGCTCATATGTTGATTCGTTTGTACGACTATTAGAGAGTTTTTGTTTTTAGCGTCTACGATATTGATTGGTTGTACAAGGGATTATGTACTTAGCAGATATTTACAGAATAGACTTTTCGTTTGCAATTCTCTTTATTTTCTCACTTGGTTATTTGGGAAGGCATGATAAGGGCTTTGGTTTCCCTTAAAACACTGCAGTATGGTGATTTAATGGGATTCGCAAAGTGAGACGTTTATGTGTTTCCGTCGATCAAATGCTATCAATTACAAAATTGTGAAGATATGTCAGCAGATAACAAGAAATACACGACACTCTCGATGGTGATATTTTGGATTATAGTGATTGGTTAAGGTGCATTGACTGGCCGTTGATCATTCAAATTTTCGAAGCAACTTGTTTGGGGTAGTACGGAAGTACGTGTTGATTGGACCCCGCTTGTGGAGAATAACTAAATTCGAGAATGATGGTCATTATCACATACTGCGTGCCAAATCTATGTTTCCATTAGCATCTACTTCAAATATCTCTATGTATCTCTTTTAAGCCCAACCTCCCCCCTTCAAATTCAATCATCCGTCATCAACGAAAGAGGCAACAAAGCCAGCAATACAGCCAATGCCGGACCTGCCCAAAACCCCATCCCTATATATCCTATTCTCGCTCCTAAGTCCAACATACTTCCCGCCCAAAGCGGTCCTACAATTCTTGCCATCGCGCTAACCATGCTCTGTAAACCATTGATTCTCCCCCTTCCGTTATCAATCTTGCATGATCTCGCAACAAGTATGCTACCAGAGATAAATCCAAAATCACATATACATCCCTTCAGAGCAAAGAGAATACTAAGCACGATGAAGTTTGCGGGCTTGGGGAGAAGGGTTGTGAAAGGAGTAGCGAGATAGATGGGTAGAATCGCAATGCTGCACGAGTAATGGAAGACGCGCAGGACGGGAAAATATCGGTTGAGGATACCGACAAGTAATAGGGGAATGAACATGCAGAAAAATCCGAAGATGGTGAACATGAGACCGATTTCTGTGGTATCTGTATGTTGATTTAGTAATAGGATATTTTATGCCAGGGAGGTGAAAACGTACTGGAACCAAATCCACCATTGAATTTGAAGGGAAGATGTATTTGAGGTGAGGATGGATCTTGTTTTGCGTAGTGCATGAACACGGATATGAGCGAATCATATGATGATGAGTGCATGGATAAGAAGCCATACGAAAGAATGCACATGACAGTTTGTCGATCCAAGACTTGCTTCCATGTCGCTGATGGTGGATTTTCAGGTACTGGAGGGATGACTTCCGCGACATTGAGAATAGCTGGTGGTAAAGAGTTCTCGTCTGATAGAAGAGGAGCGGTCTCCAAATCGTCTTCTTCCTTATCTTCGTCTTCATCACTTTTGCCCTTTACTTTATTGTAGAACCTACTAGTTACTGCAACAAATCTTTCTCTTAACATAATCCCATAATCCGACTGCCCCCTTTTACTTTCTAGTGATTCTCTGAATCCGAAAAATACGATAAACAAACTAACGAAAAAGAACCCCGTGGCAATGAGGTTGGGAAGAGCATATGGGTATCTCTCCAAGAACCTATCACCATGTGGCTTACCAGGCTCAACATGATATGGGTTTGCTGCGAGACCACCAAGAATTGGACCTACTGCCCACCCAGAATTAAGTCCAAGTGGAAGAATGGAAAAGGCGACTGTTTGGAGTTTCTTAAAACAATATCAGCGTTTAGACAAAGACATGAGGAACGTGGAAAATAACTTTGTCTTTGATCGTCTCTCCTAGACTCGTTTTGATAACCCCAGAATCTCCACTACTAAACCCCATGATTGCCCTACTTAACAGGACCATCCATAACTGTGTTGAGAACCCGAACATGAGGACACCAACCATAATCATCATGCTACACATCATGATTACGGGCTTTCGACCAATATGATCGGAGATATGGCCCCATAATATAGCAGTTCCTACTTGACAGATGGAAAAACAGGAAATAGCAGCACCAACCCAAAAGCCTAGCGTCTCTGGAGGAACACCGACATATCTCATGAGCATTGGGATATAAGGTAGAGACGCTGAGTACGCAAATGGATGTGCAAATCTAGAGAGTGCTGTATGAATGATGAGTCATGTGTCATGCTGGTAGATAGCTTTGAGCTGGGTTGGAGCAACATACACAAGATCAGGATCTGCCCTAGAGGCAGGTTTTTGGGAATCTTCATCATAGTTACACTGAGGGAATCAGGATTAATGGAGCAATGGTGAACTCAAACATAGAATTGCCTCCAACAGTTATACATCCGAGAATGCGTAATTTTGCATCAAAAGAAGAATACACTCGTAGCTTTTCCGTGAGGATGAAAGGTGGGAGGAAGGGGGGGCAGATATATAATACTACAAGTAAGACTCAAAAATGACGACAAAAAACATAAAATCTGTATGGGATAGATATATTGAGTTCAATATCAACCTCGACTCCAAAGCACACTTGCTGTCGAAAAAAATTGAATGTTGGTTTGTATACTTCATAGTTGCTTGGTCATGAGTGCTGACCATATACCTATCTACTCAGCTTCTTATTACAGATACCTAGCGGCAATCAACCAGTCATGATTCGTTGAGCATAACGAGTACGTGCGGAGTCCGGACCTTGCAGGATTTGCACTTCTGCCAAGGCTTCGTAGATTGACTCAGAAAGATAAGCCATTGCAGCCATGTTGACAGCTTATCTCGGTGGGGAGCCAGGGGTCTGTTGCAACTTGGCACAAATCATTCTATGAGCTGATTCCGTTCAAACGACCAAATCCCTCATATAGTTAACCACCTGCATGCGATTTTGCCCAAAAAATCAGCCAAAAATGCAACAAAAATCGACCTGCATAAAATCAGAACTCTCTGACGGGGAGTCGAACCCCGGTCTCCCGCGTACTTGCCATCAGGATGACAAGCGGAAATCATGACCGTTAGACCATCAAAGATGTGTGTTTTGTTGTGGCAGGCGAAGCGTCTCTAACAATATATTGAAAAATTTTCGCTTAGTGGAGATGCTATTCTGCCATTATATCACGTGAGCGGTGTAGCCCAAGAGCATATTTGGTTTGCATACAGAAAAGAACTATTTATGAACAACAATAACTCAGCAACGAACCCTCATGATTCTACTCGCCAATCAATCAGAAAGACTGAAGTTCCATTACAATACAAATATCAGGCTTGGGGAACTTAGATACAAAGGGTCATATTCGAAACCCCAATTGAAAGCTTAATAAGTATTGTGGCAGAGCCCATACCCCATTTAATTTCGGTCGTTGTAAATGGAGCTGCGTGTCATTGTACAGTCGCCGATCCATCAAGCCAGAATGCGCTTTCTTGATTGATTTATACCAAATCGAGGCATAATGGTCTCTCAGAGGAGGTGATTTTTTGCTCTCAGACAACTGACAAACGTGGAGATCAGGTTTAGGCAATGACTTTGACGAAAGACAAACCATCACTACTCATAATCTTCTCTACTATCAGAATTATGTTCTATACCATGAGTTACTACAAACCTTGCCTCAATGGAAGGCTGAGTGTCTTACCCATATGGTATACATGGGCATGGAGCCGACGCTTTACAGTCAAGAACAGAATTGTTGGGAAGAGCTTTGGAAACTAGGTGAAATTCTTGATTTGCTCGTTCCAATATGGAGAGCAAATATACATATAACCATAGTACAATGTTCAAATGGGGTTCGGTATTTCAAACTTTTTATATTGTTCGATTCAATACATTAGTGAAAATCTTCTCGTTATCTCGGCCGTCTGTTTTGGCTTTCGGAAACACTGTCGCCACGTATTGGAGGGATATACTGTTGTGACAAGGACACTCCAGATGCGAAGAAGGGTGGCTAACAAGGGACAATTCAATTAAAGGTGCCGGAAAGGAAATCAAGTTGTCAGGATTCTAGGAAGAACTTAGAAAAGATCATTGAGGCCCTAAGGGCCACAAAGCAATTCATCAAAGAAGGTGGAAAGGTCTTGAATCATTGAACATCAATATCGAGCAACAATTCACCCCTTTGATTTAAGCTTCTTGCAACACACACAAAGGATGGTGATGGAAATTTTGATTCTTTTACCGAGTTGGAAAAAGAAACTATATTCGGAGATGGTAAAATTGGCTAAACGTTAAGAGTTAGAAAAAGAAGGGAAAATACTTTGATATTCGTTCCGAAGACATTGAGAAGAAGTGGTTCTGTGGTGATATCTATATCTAACAAAGCTCTACAAGGAAGAGTGGCGGCGGAATCCCCGTCTTCTCCTTTACAATTCAAAGCACACACCGGGTTCATTTCATTAGTCGAGGCCTATACAGTAACCGTAATTTCAAAACCCATCTGTGAGTTCCCAAACTAACTCTTGGATTTTTTCACTAATCAACCTAGCTTCTCGTCTCCCCCCTTGAGAAGCAATCCAAAAGCAAGCAATTCCGCTTGTTCGACCTCTTGGGTCAGGAACTTCTTGTCCATTGTGAAGAAATCCCATGGACTGCTTGACGTGGCTACTTAAGTCTGGCTCACGCTCTAATATAGTTGAACAAACATCCCCGGACTGATAAACTCCACCTTTCTGTGCTGCTATAAACAAGACTTGCATGTCGTATTGTGCGCCGCCAACGAAAGGGACTGCCAAGGCCCGCAACCGCTCATGGTCCTGAAGAGCAGTGAGAAGCGCTATGCTTCGATACGACACTCCATATGTTCGAGCAATGGCTGTATGTGTACGCATTCCTGGTGGTCGCGGGTTGACCTCTAGTATAAATACTGTAGGAGTTCTGTTCTTGCTCTCTGCGATCTCTGGTTTTACTGAAAGATCTAGGATATTATCGTCTCCCGTGGCAAAAGCGAACGTGGAATTATGAACTCTGGCTTCCACGTGGAATATACCCGTTTTAAAACCCATGGCTAATACAATAGCATGTGATCTGAGTCGAAGAGCATCAATCTCACTCTCCGGCAATGCAGAAGGCATGGCATTTAAGGTTTCGACAAATCCTTGTCCATCGCCATCACCGGAGCTTGGGAAGTCATCGTTAACTTCAAAGAAGACAATCTCTCCATCGACAAGTACCAGATTAGCATCAACTTCTGGACCGTCTACGTATGGCTCAACTAAAACTAAGCCTTGGCTATCCCGGCCGTACTTTTCCGAGAAAGGAGGTTGCCATAATCGAAGCACCGCGTCTCTCAGTTCGTCCTCACATGTTACTTTACAGACCCCCTCTGAAGCCCACCCATTTGCTGGCTTTACAATGAGTGGGAGGGATAGGGGTGCAACAGTTCTATACCGAGCTACAACGTCTTCAAGATCTGGAATGTTTTGTATTCTGTAACAGAAGAGACTTTGGTTGAATTGGCGGGTTTGATACTTATCACGTGCCATCGACACGGATTTTGGTGATGAGGTAGAGAATCCCAATAAAGTAGCTGCCTCTGCAACTATAGTGAGGAGAGGTTCGTACATGCCAATAATTCCATCGATCTGTTTTGGGTAGGCAGAGACTGCCGAAGCGATCCGCTGAGGCATGTCTTCGTCTAGGGTCATATCCAGAGGGACGAAGTCCTCGCGCAAGTGTGCCCATTCAGCACCTGCCAACCCATGACACAGATCATCAAAGAATATGAGTACAATATTGAGCGACGTAGCCGCTATCGCAAGATCCTCAAGCTTTGAGAGACTGAGTAGGTGTGAAGGAGGACCAGGACGAATCACTGCCAAGCGTCGCTTTGGGGTTTGTCTTGCAGAATGCCATGCGAACGAAAACCGTCGCGTCAGCTCTCCATCCAGAGTTACTGTATTAGCCTCGGACCAAGCTTTGCTTGTACACGATATGACTATTGCTCCAATCGCATTTTTCGAGATGACGGCAATACCGAGCGCATTACAGGCATCGATATTAATACCCTCAAAATGTTGATCAAGTGATGTAAATGTCTGGATTTTGACAACGTCGCTACAATCGACCAGCCGTCTGTTTAGAAAGTCCGATTGGACAAGGTATCCACCGACCGTTGGGAACAGCAGTCGGATAACGCAATCGCTTCCTTCGAGATGTTGAACAAGGAACTTTGATGCCAGAGAAGAGTCATCAATCTGGCTATTTTGAAAGCCGTGGAGCTCTTGATCAGCTTGCGTTCTAGTGAACACGTCTATGGCAATAAGAGAGGTTTCTTTTGGAAGGGGGTGAGCCCGCCATGTCACTTCCATTGTAATGTCGCTTTCTGCCCTGTGATTCCAGGATAAACAATTTCGACGCAAATAATACTTTAATAGCTTTAAAGATTAATTGCGGCTTGAACTAAAAACAGTAAAATATGGGAGAAGTAGAAATTTCGACACTCCGAACTAGCAGATCGGAACGGAAAGTTTCCGAAGTTCAAAGTATTTTGAAACTTTGAATGCAGCTTAAAAATGTGAGTGGGTTCAAAATTTCAAACATGGGAAATAGATACAGGAATCAAGAACTTTTATCATTGATTGCAATTTGGAATACTACAACCGCTGTGTAGATCATGGCACATCCATCAATCCATTCATTCTCAAGCCCTCATACTAAGTCTCGCGCGCTAGTTAACCCATGCTCGCTCGATTACGGATAGGCCTGGCGAGATGTTTTGTTCAGGGGTACATGCCATAAGCACTAACCATACTAGGAAATGATAACCCAGTGCATTCAAGCACATGCAGACTCTCCTCGCCCTCAATTGCTTAATTGTTTTCATGTCCGACAGATCTTTCGTCATTAATGGAGGCAGTTAATCTAGATTACAGCTCTTCTCAGAACGCGGGTCAAATGGATCTGAGTCGATCAAGTCGAGCCGGAACCCGAGGCCCGAGTGATACAACGACAAGGCATATTTCTAAAGGATTTCCTACCTTGACTTCAAATCCATAGAAGGAAAGTAGCATGGACTGTAGCATGTCCATGAAGTCATCTCACGGTAGTCTAATTCGACCACAGCTTTCTCTGCCATAATCATCACATACGTCGGTTGCAGATCTTGACGACCAGAAAACTTTGTCTGGCAATCTCTGTTTTGTTGATACCATAGAGGTCCACGCTGAAGCCGTTATACGCGCAAGATGTTATGCCAGCGAAGTCGAAAGGTGTAGCTTTTTCTAAGATGTACCGTGATGCAGTATCGCTAGTTTCAATTCACGGGTGGAATTTCAAGAAGACTAG